GATATGAGTCATAAATTGGTTGCATACCTTCTAATTTTAATCAGATTGACAGTAGCTTATGTCAGTTTTCTTTTGCTACTTTTTTCTTTTTATATAACAATTTAAGTCGTATTTGAGAAAAAAAGATCAGACGAAAATCAATTTTGTGTCCTTAAGCTATCTTTTACCTATTACTAAGCTTTTCCCTCTTTATTTGAAGATTAGTAAAACTTTTTAATCTTCTATTAGTGCTTTACTATCTTTAAAAGAGAAAAGTTATTAATTTAGATGACGTTTTCTGTATGTGCTGCTTGTCATGAACCAATCCATGATCAATGGATTTATGAAGTATTAGATCGTCTTTGGCATGGTCATTGTATACGTTGTGTTGATTGTGGTCAATTATTAGCAGAAAAATGTTATACACGTGATGGAAAATTATATTGTCATAGAGATTTTTATCGGTATAAAGAGAAAAGAAAAAATAGATATATTTATACTGAATTCATATTTAATTGATTGATTGATTGATTGATTTAATATTTAGACGTTTTTGGTGTCGTCGTTGTTCAGGTTGTTTACAAGAAATTGGTCAAGGTGAATATTATTTAAATGCATGGGATCAATTATATCACTGGGATTGTTATAAATGTTGTTTATGTTTACGTAAAGTGAATACAGGTGAAGAAATACATTTAACACATGATAATCGTTTCATATGTAAAGAAGATTTTACTGCAAGAATGAAATGTAAAGATGAATATGACAATGATAATCATATTAAAAATGAAAATGATTATGATAAAGAAAATTCATCATTTAAATCTCAACAAATTCAACCATCAACATCAACACCAAATTCAAATTTAAGTTCATCGGATTGTTTAAAAGAAGATGATGGTGATATTCATATGTCCGATTGTTCATTAGATTGTAAAGATGATGATCAAATGTGTTTAACAAATGCAAATAATACTACTACTATTGCTACTACTAATAATAATTCTTCAAGTAATTGTTCATCATCATCATCAACATATCATCAAAAAAAATCCAATCTTGATAATACAGATAATGGAAATTCAAATGGACCTAAAAAACGTGGTCCAAGAACAACAATTAAAACCAAACAATTAGAACAATTAAAATCAGCATTTGCAGCCACACCTAAACCAACACGACATATACGAGAAGAATTAGCTCGTGAAACAGGTTTAGCTATGCGTGTTATACAAGTATGGTTTCAAAATCGTCGTTCAAAAGAACGACGTATCAAACAATCAATTACATGTGGTGGATCACGTCGACATTATTATCGACGTGTGACATCCGGTCGACCATTTGATGATAATGAAATGGTTTCACATCCTGGTTTAAATTATTTACCAGGTATAAATGATTTCGTTTTAAGACAAGAAAAAGCATTCCTTTTTTTTGTTTTGTTTTTAAGAAGGATTTCGAAATGAGTTCATGTATCAAGGACCACCAGCACAAAGTTATAATGATTTTATTATGCAACAAGAATTACACCAAAGACTTAATTATGGACCCGCTGGAGGTATGAATTAAAAGCAAAATACGTTAAATGAAATAATTTGATTTCTATTTTTTTTCTTTTTAATAATAATTTAGATTTGTCATATACTATGCATCATGAATTAAATAGTGTTTCATCAGCGACAGTACCAGATTCTTCGGGAGCTGATTCCGAAGATATACAACAACGTTTTAGTTCAACACCACCTTTACCTTCACAGGTAGTCACAACAGGAGGAAGTGCCTTTAACGATCATTCATGGAATTAATTTTCTTGTTTTTTTTTTCGTTTCGTTTTTTATATATAACAGTCGTTGCGTTTCTTTATTTGCCTTTTGTTAGCCATTATCCAGCTTTTTCTTTCGTCTTTATCGTCGTGATGATCTTGAGTTTTTTTCTCGAAAAACAAAAATCTATGATGATTTCTTAACGTGATGTGACGATCTCATGCTGAGTAACGACGGAATTTCAGACAGCTGAATAAATGTGCACGAGCGGAAATGTCAACTTGAATGTGCGCGCACGTTTCTCTCGTCTTTGTTTCCTGTCAATTGGCAATTCCTATCTTTTCTATTTTTTTTTTGTCTTTGTATTAAACAGAAATACTAATCATCTACCCAGTTATTTTCACTATCATCACCTTCGAATGAAAAGAAAAACAAAAGAGATTTGTATTTGCTCGATACATTCATCAATATTGAATTCGTATAATAACTTGATGATGCCATGGAGAGAAGCAACTATCGATGAGAGAATCTCAATTTGCTTGGACAAATAAATGCATGCGGCATTATATGATTAAAATATGTGTTCAAAGGAAGCCTTGGCTTTATGTGCATAGAAAAAGAAAAAAAAAAGTTTGATTAAGAAACCATAAGTGTATAGTTTGAATGAGATGTTGTGACTCAATGATATATATGTATATGTATATAGAGAGAGTGTGTGGGACCACCAACTGTGCAAGTAAACAGTGATTGGTTCTACAATAGGTGTCTCTTAATAGGTTTTTCTTCTTCATGAGATTAGAAAAAAAGACAAGTAAAGTAAATCATTGATTTGAGTATATACTTAACAAACGTGTGATCGAAACGACAAAGAATGATTGTTGTTCTTGATGAAAAAAGAAAAGGTGTTATATGTTTTGTTTTTCAAACAAATAATAAAGATAAATATATATTATTGGAGAATAAAACGGAAGGAAATTCTTGAATATAGTTCAATCTAAAAATACATTTTTTTTATCAACGTGTTAATACCTGTACATTATTTGTTTAATTAATCTCTTGATATACATGTTTCACAATTGCTAGTGAATGAGCATTTTTGAGTATGATTTAAATTAGATTCATATAGAAAGCTTTCATTTACTTGTTTTTACGAATACTAGTGAGAAATTGATGTGGTCACATAAAAGATTCTTTCATAACTATTACTTTCACGTGAGTAAAGATTGTCCTCTTCGCTTCGGACTCGACTCAGTCAGAAAAATTTGAATCCGACAGGCTGTAATCCTAGGATCCCAAGTGATAAATCACTTTTCAGCTGGCACTATGTTCACTGGATAAGGCGTAGTCGGTAGGCGAATACCTTTGAATGGTTCGAAGTACTGAGATATAAAATTTTCAGTGGATTTTGACTGCAAGCTTCAGCATTAAAGCAAAAGCATATTGTTAAACTTCAGCTGGAAAGTTTGTCAAGATGAAAATACCGATTAGACTAGATTGCAAAAAAATTTGTAGACTTTTTCGATCAAGTCTTTTCGAGATATGGAGTGGTTTTGCTTGTCTACTGTTTTTTTTACAATAACCAGAGCAAAGCGCCTCTATTTTGAAAAATTTTGAAGTTTTTTTTCTACAAGCTAGTGTAACCGGGTCTTTATGTAAGCAAAGCTCCAGATTGAAATTCAAAAGTATTATTTTGCTTTGAAACTGGAACTTGTAGGGAAAAATCCACTAAAAAGTGTATATCTCAGCAGCTTGAAACCATCTAGGATATTTATCTAATTACCAGGCTCTATCGACTTCATATAGTTTCAGTTTAAAGAAATTCATTATTCGGAAACTTTCCTTAGTAAAAAAGTAGCGGTCTCGACAATGAAGAGGGAAATCCTCGTTGCGGGGATTGATGAGCAAAAGAAACGTAGAAAATCATTTAGTTTCACTAAGGTAAAACGAAAGTTTTCCAAGATTGGAGGGATTACCCCCGATGGAAACATTCCTTCAGGTAGTTCGATTTCATAAAACAGGTTACCGTTACTATAGTAACAATCTTATTTCATAAAAACAGCATGATGGATTACAACAAACTACGGTGAAAATTAATGCCATTAGACGCCGTTTTCGACGGTCAAAATGATTGTCCTTGCTAAATGCAATTATGTTCAATCAAGAAGTGACGTAAGTTCGTTTTGTACAAGTTTCATACGATTGGTTTTGCTAATGAATTCGCACGTTCTGAACAATCCGTATATCAAAGAATTCTAACTTTATTCGGAAACTTTATATAAAAAATTCTTCATATAAATCGTTCATTATGTGTCTAAAGATGGCGTTAGATTCAAGTTAGGAAAAATAAAATTATAAAAGTTTATTTCATATAAAATAAAGATAGTTTCCATGTAATTTCATTTTGAAAATAGAAATTATTCCATAAAACTAAACTAAAGTAATTCTACATAGTATTCGTTGGTTAAACTAACTAATAAATTATCAAATTCAGACAATAAATCCAAACAACTCGTCCATTTGACACATAGGCAGCTTGTGTCGAGTCAATGTTGAAGAGACATTCGAAATTTATTTTTCTAGATAAATGTTTCCAACTCCTGATTTATCTCATTTTACTCGAAATGATTATAATCAAATCTATGAACCAGATGCTGATTCATTTCTTCTTCTTGATGCTTTAGAATTAAAACTAAATGAAATTCTTGAACAAAAACCTTTTATTATACTCGAATTTGGTTCGGGTTCAGGTTTAGCAACAACATTTTTTGCTAAACATTTTTGTTTAACATCATGTCTTTTTTTTGCTATTGACATTAATCCTTATGCATGCTATTCGACTAAAAGAACATTTCAACAAAACAATCTTCATGAGAAACATTGTTTAAATATAATTCAATGTAATTTAGCTGATCCTCTAATTGATCGTTTATCATCAAAAGTTGATTTAATACTTTTTAATCCACCTTATGTACCAACAGAAACATCTGATGTTAAAGAAGTTATTGAAAGAACTTATGCAGGTGGTAAACAAGGTATTGAAGTTATAGAAAAAGCTATTGAACAAGCAAGTCGATTACTTTCTTCTAAAGGTTTATTTTATATGGTAGCACTTGAAGAAAATAATTTTAATACATTAAAAGAATTAGCTAATCAAGTTGGATTAAATATTGATATTATACTTAAACGACGAACACTAATTGAAAGATTATTTGTTGTAGAATTTCGACGAAAATGATTAGTTTTGTTTTTCTGTTTCAGATGAACGATTCATTATTTTCTCGAGTTTTATCTACTATTCAATATCATCAATTTATAGCTGGTCTTTTCGGTGGAATTATTTCATCAATTGTACTTCATCCATTTGATCTAATTAAGATACGATTTCAAGTAAATGAATCGAAATCAAATAAAGATAATCGACCATTACCATATAGACCATATTATAAAAATTTCCTTGATGCATTTCAATCAATCTATCGTGAAAAAGGTCTGCAAGGTTTATATGAAGGGGTAACACCAAATGTTGTTGGAAATGGAATATCTTGGGGTCTTTATTTATTTATATATAATACAATTGTTGTTTTAAATAATGATGAAGATAAAATGAAAAATTTAACATTTTATTATCGTGTAATTTATTCAACAACAGCTGGTTTAATAACAATTATTTTAACGAATCCAATATGGGTTATTAAAACACGTATGTGTTTACAATATTCAAAAAATAAATCAGCTGTTACATATAATAATATGTTTGATGCATTTCGAAAAACTTATCAAGCAGAAGGAATAAAAGCATTTTATTCAGGTCTTACACCTGGTTTAGTTGGTATATTTCATGGTACAATACAATTTTCATCTTATGAACAAATGAAAAGTTTTTATGCGAATGCATTTCATACAACATATTTTCCTACGGCAATTATTTTAACATTTTCAGCTTTATCAAAATTTATCGCTGCTACATCAACATATCCAACACAAGTTGTACGTACACGTTTACAAGATCAACATCAAAATTATAATGGTGTTATAGATGTTATTAAGAAAACATATGAACGAGAGGGTATTAGTGGATTTTTTAAAGGAGTTGTACCAGCACTTTATCGTGTTATACCAGCTAGTTGTATAACATTTATTTCCTATGAATTTATTCTACACGAATTAAAAGGTGGAATTATTTGATAGGCATATATACTAAACGATTATTATCTAAATATAATTTTACTAATAGTTTTGTTCTTGTTGTTCACTTATATATATAATTTATACTACGCTTTCGTTTAACTCAATATTGTTATTGTTACTTGTTTTGTTCTTACTATATATATATATAGTCAAATGTTGTTTTGTCTGTGCATTTATTAATATAAATATATGGACGTGGTCTATTGGTTAGGATAACTGAGCTTAGCTATAAAGTAGAAAAGTATAGTCGGCATTTTTTCAGTAATAAGAGATCAAAGTAGTCGTTTGCTCTACATGTGTTTAAGCTTATGGTATTTAGTAGATAGTTCCTACCTTCTTATTATTCAATATGACATAATCAATAAAGTGGATTAATTGTCTGTATCTATATATACGTTTATATCTTTGTCTATTAATATTAGCAAAAATCCTTTTTCCCAAATTGAGAAATACATATTTAAAAATTAATTATATATGTTGTGAAAGATTTTTCAAATTCGTTTCAGATTTAAACTTATCTGATTAAGTTCATAAACATAATGCCTAAATCAAAAGAATTTATCGATAATTCGGATTCCGACGAACAAAAGAATTCGGTTAGTGATGAAGAAAAAGCTAAGGCTTCAACATCGACAAAGTCGAAGAGTAAAAATACAAATAACAAGGATGGTGTAAGTAATTTTAACAAAAACAAAATCAATCCATTTTATCGAATTTTTTGTTCATGTTTTTTTTTCTTTTCTTATAATTAAATAGCCACCAGCTAAACGAGCTAAATCAAATGCTAAAGAAGATGGCGATGTCGTACCTTCAACAGCTGGACCTAATGGTGAACGACTTTACGAAGTAAACCATCACAATACTTGCTTCTTATAGATAACATTTTTGTATCATTATATTTCTATAGCTTAGTAAATTACGTTATATATCGGTTAGCCAATTCAAAGGTAAACCATATATCAATATTCGTGAATATTATGATGATAACGGTGTACAAAAACCTGGTAAAAAAGGTGAGATATTGTTTGCAATTTTGTATGCATATTGTCTTTTGTTTTATTATATTTAGGCATTAGTTTAACTGTTGATCAATGGGAAAAATTAAAAACACTTGTTAGTCAAGTCGATAAAGATTTATAGGAATCTATGTAAAAAAGAAACAAGTCATATAGACATTTCTAATGATCAGATAAAAAAAAGAAACAAATGTTAATGATTATTTTTTTCTTTTATGTTACATTTTTTTTGTTCATTTAAACTTATTGTATCGAAAAAATTCATTTGTGATTTTCTGTTAACACTTATTTTTTCTCTTAAGACATTAAACACGAAATATTATTTTCGAACAAGAAAGAAATAAAATCTAATTGACAGAAAACAATGAAATAAACAAAAGAAATCAGATAATTTCTTTCTTTAGATGAAAGAATTAATTTGTTCAACCATTGAACGTAATGTTGTATTGAAATGTATTCGTGATCATAAAGTGAGTTAAGAGATAAATGATTTGAAATAAAGTTTTTTTTATTTTCCTTCTCAGCGTTTGGATTGTCGAGCGATTGAGGAAACTCGTTCAGTTAATATAGAATTTCGTGCACATCCTGGTTATGTTTCAGTTACTCTGGGTCAAACACGGTAAATTATAGAGAATGTTTATTTGTATTTTTTGATTTTAAACTACTTGTCGTTTAGTGTTATTGCACAAGCATCATGTCGTATAACTAAACCAAAAGAAGCACGTGCATCAGAAGGACATATTCGCATTCATCTTGATATGTCAAAAATTCCTTTAATTAATTTAGAAAATTGGAAGTTAGTTTAAAGTTTCACTTTTGAATATAAAACTTTTTTGAAAATTTTTTCAAAAAAAAAGACATCAAGAATTTGTACAAGAATTAAATGGTATTCTTGAACAAAATATTCGTCATTCAAACTGTCTTGATCTTGAATCATTATGTATTAATTCTGGAGAATTAGTAAAATAATTAGCATAGTAATTTATGTTTAAATCGACCTCTTTTTAAAGGTATGGTCAATTAAAATCGATCTTACTGTATTAAATAATTGTGGTAATATATTGGATTGTGCTAATATAGCAACACTGTGTTCATTATATCATTTTCGGTTAGTTAATTAAGATATTTTATTATCCGTTCTATTATTAATTTTCTTTAGTCTACCAGAAGTATCTGTACATGGATCAGAAATTCGAGTGGTTTGTTAAATTTTTTTTGCATTTATTCAAAAAAATAAAATAAAATCTTATTTTCAATAGTATTCTTCAGCTGAACGTAGAGCTCGTCCATTACGTATTCTTCATTTTCCGATTAATGTTCTATTTGCTTTCTTTATTGATGGGTAAATTTATTAGTTATATATTTTTTTATTTCATTATTTATTAATGTATATATTAGTCGATATACATTGATTGATCCAAATTCTGATGAAGAACGTCTTATGGATGGTTTTTTTTCTATTTCAATGAATCAACATAAAGAAATATGTGGAATTCATATGGGTGGAAAGTTAGGTCTAAAAAAAGAACAAATTGAATTATGCAAAAAGCTTGCATTTAAAAAAGTACTTGAATTAACTGATCGTATTCGACAAGTAGTAACTGATTATTATAAGTACGTTCTTCAATATTTACTTTTCAGCTAACATAAGAATCATCACTTCTGCATATTTGATTTATTTTCTTTGGACATACATACAAATTATGTTGTCATCCAAAATGATTACGATCCCGACTCTCGTACAATTTTTTTCAATCCAGATTTATTTTTTCTGTTCGAATTAAGGGCCTGAATGTCAGTTATTTTTATTTAAGATGCTGAGTTTACTCTCAAGAATCGAAGTTTTTCGATAATTTATTTTTTGCAATTGTTGAACTTATCGATATTTGTTCAGAATACAAAAACCAATCTAATAATGTCAGCCGTAATCCTACAGATCCTGAATTTCGATAAATTCAAATTGACTCTTGAAGTAATCTTGATTCAGATCATTTATATAGATTTTGTTTGCATTTGAAAGCAAAGAGTTGTGAGAGAGTTTTTTTGAGTCACATAATCATAACCTGAAAAAACTGTTAGCGTCATCCTTGTGAGATTAAAATGTCAAACACAATGTAGTTATTATATTTAATCACAGGCAGATTGCTTTATTCTATCGATTTTAAGAAATCATTCTTCACCATCCATTTACTTAATTTTCCAGTCTTTAGTCGTGTATCAGCAACGTCTGTTACGGTTTGTGATGAAGAAGGGACGTTGCTACGGATGTCTGTAGGGGCAAACGCTTAGTCCAATTTTCTACTTTTATATTTCAACACTACTGAGTGTGACAAAAGCCTAGTTTGGGAGTATCCCTAATTCTAATGCATGCATATAAAGGAATGTTCGTACTACTAAAGAGTTAAAATCATTAATGTAGATTTTCGTGTACTGATCATAACAAGTATCTAAAATTTAATCCTTTAGTCTTATAGCTTGACCACAAATAGAGTATGTTGAACTATTATCACAAGGGCTAATTAGAACTTGATCGAACTTTAAAGAAGGAGCTAGAAGGTCAACATAAATTTTTTCTTCAGACGAGATATCTCAACATAGAAAAAAAAATCTTATGATGTTAGACTCCTCATTCAACAGCTTAGTGGTACTTCTATCACCAGTAAAAATTCCACGTCAAACAGTTTTTAGGTTATCTGACTTATGAAATATTCTATAGATGTCTCTAACATGAGAGTTGATGGGAACCGTTGAAAAATGAGTCATATCTCCGACTAATTTTAACTATTTGTCTTGGAATTTTCTCGATGAATGCTATGTTCTGATCAAGTTTTCCTTGAAAATTTCACTATCGCAATCATTAATGAAGAAGAGACCCATGCTGAAGCGTCCCCGACAATGGAGCCTTCTCGGCCCCTCAAGAGTTTAGTGAATTGGGGTATCTTATCTGTGACACAATATAGACTAGAGCCCTGCAGGATGCAGGTAACCTGCCCTGCCCTGCCCTGCCCTGACAGGGCAGGACAGGGCAGGCTGCGAAAATAGCAGGGCAGGGTAGGGCCAGGTTATGAAATTTTTACAGGGCAGGTTACAGGTTGTCCATATCGTAACCTGTTAACCTGAGATTAATTTTGAACAACCGACATTTCCGGTATCTTTTAAAAAAATTAGGTATGAAGAAAGATGAATTTACCGAGACTAAAGCACTCATAATATAAGAAATGATCGGCTATGATAGATTGCAGCTAGTTTTGTTTATTCGATATTTTTCTATTAGTAATCTTGAAGAAATTAAGCGTTATTTTTATCCAATTCAAATTTGAAGTACACACAATTAAATGTACTATAAATACTGATAGGAAATTTTGGATATTCCTCTATTTTAAAATTAGCAGGGCAGGGCAGGGCAGGTTACAGGTTACATTAGAAAGTTTTAGGGCAGGGTCCGCAAAAATATTCACAGGGCAGGGCAGGATCAGGTTACAAAAAATTTACAGGGCAGGTTACAGGTTATAAAAATCCTGCACCCTGCAGCCCTCTAATATAGACATGGGAAACTTTATTGGTTAATAAGAAAATGTAGGCTAACACGTTTTAAATAATGAAAAATTATTAAAGTGTCAGAAGAGCCTTTTTTGGTTCCTAAGAAAAAAAATCAGTGTTTTCATTGTAAACACCTTTCATGAAGACCTATCAACTTCGAATTGCCGCTTGCAATTAGAGTTTATCGAGCTCTATTGATAGCCAGCATATCAGGCAAAGGGATTAAAGGTCATGTACTTTTTATCCGGCATGGGGACTTCTTGTGACTACTGTATGTGTGTTCGAAGAATTTAAAAGATTATAAAGAATGTTGCTTGTTTTTAGAAACGAAATCGAGACTAAAAAATGATTTTTCAGATCTCTATTTGAAACTAAAACTTTATATTCTGATTAGAAATGAAGTATGATAGAACAATAAGACTAACATAAATTCAATTCAATCTCTCACACTATTCATTAAAACCATTCATTATGGTTCTTATAAATAAAATTAGCTTAACATATTGTATTGTATATTACAGAACAATTGAACCAACTACACATACTCAACCATCGATTATACGTATTGATAATGATGATGATGAAGATGATGAACTTAGTAGTTCAAGTGAAAATGAAGATTTTGTTTTAATCAAATCAGAAATACCACCGTCACCTATTGAAAACAATGTTTCAGTAAGTAATCTCAAATTAACAATAAATATTATTTTTTAATATTATAATTTATAGCTTTTACTCATGCCGGATCTTGATCATTTATCATTAACTGATGATGTTCCAACAATGACAGCTATGAATGTTGATAAATCAACAAGTGATCTAGAAAATGGTAAACATTGTTTTTTTTTAAATATTTTCTTATATTTCTTATAATTTTTTATTTAGACGACGAACAAGATAACGAATGATCTTATCAAATCTTAAATAATTTCATTTTTTTTTTAAATTTTGTGATATGCACTCTATTTATCAACTTTCATCCTTTTTCTTGTAATATACAGTTTGCTTGTATGTTTGTTATCTTAAAAAAAACACAAAAACCTAAAATATTCTTATCTTATTACTGTAAATAAAGAGGTGTGCGTCAACGGAATAAATAACAATCACAAGTTAGCTATATGATTCTTCTTGTTTAGTTATGTGTTCTTATATGACACAAAATCTTAGTCAGCCATGGCCAATATTAAAACACTATGATCAAGATCATTTATATAATATAGCTCTTCCACTTGGTGGGATTGGTACAGGTACAGTCAGTTTGGGTGGACGTGGAGAATTACGCGATTGGGAAATAGGAAATAAGCCAGCAAAAAAATATAGTACAGTAACAACAGGTAATGATGCGCCATTTTTTTCTGTATTTGTTAATCAACCATCAACATCAAGTAAAATAACGAAAGCACTTATTGGTCCTGTTCATCCAACTGAACATTTACATTATGAAGGACGTGCATGTAATCATCATGGTTTACCAAGATTTCGACAAGTATCATTTGATGCTGCATATCCATTTGGAATAGTTAATTTATCTGATAGTAATATGCCAGTATGCATTAAAAAAATATTTTGTTTTGAAAAATAAAATATATTATTTAGATAAAAGTTTGTATAAAAGGTTTTAATCCATTGATACCAACCAATGCTGAGGCAAGTGGTATTCCAATAGCTGTTTTATATTATGAAGTAACTAATATAACAAATGAAGTTTTAGATGTTAGCGTATGTGGATCAATGAGAAATTTTGTTGGACAAGATGGTAGTAAATATTTTATTGCTGGTGATGGTGATTACGTACCAATGGGAGCTAAAAATAATACAAATGTCTATCGAGAAGATTTCGCTGGAGAATTAAAAGGTATTTATATGAATTCAACTAATATTGATCTAAATGATCCAGCATGGGGAACAATTGCTTTAACAACATTAGTTGATTCACCAAACACCATTGTTACATATCGTTTATCATCCATTTCAAATGCATGGTATCATGCTATACTCGATTTTTGGGATGATGTAAGTATAAAATTATTATTAATGATTCGAATTGCTTTAGAAAATTTTATTTGTTAGTTTAGTACTGATGGTACACTTCATGATAAAGAACAATTAGTTGATGATAATCCAATGGCAAGTTTAGCTGTTAAAAAACAAATTCAACCGGGTGATGTTGAACTTTTTCCATTTTTTATAACATGGAATTTTCCTAATCGAATGGCATGGTCACCAACGATTGTTGGCAATTATTATTCAACATTATATAAAGATGCATGGGATGTATGTATTCAAACATTACCTCATCTTGCTGATTTAGAATCAAATACACTTGATTTTGTAAATCTTTTTTTGGCAAGTGATTATCCTGGTGTACTTAAAGAAGCTGCATTATTTAATTTAGCTACACTTCGTTCACAAACAGTTTTTCGTATAGCTGATGGACATTTAATGGCATGGGAAGGAGTTTTTGATATATTTGGTTCATGTCTTGGTTCTTGCACACATGTTTGGAATTATGAACAAGCTATTGCTTTTCTTTTTGGTAATCTTGCTAAAACAATGCGTGATGTAGAATTCAATTATGCAACATTTGATGATGGTGCTATGAATTTTCGTGTACAACTTCCATTAACAAAACCACAAGTACGAACTGGAACTGCTGCAGTAAGCAAAATACAAAAAGAAATATTATTTTAAAAAGAATTTGATTGTTGATTGTTTAGGATGGACAAATGGGTTGTATCATGAAAATGTATCGTGATTGGCAAGTAAATAAAAATAATACGTAGCATGAAAAACAAAAGTATTGAACATGGTTCTTTTTTTTTCATAGCTATCTGGTGATGATGATTTTTTGAAAAAAAATTGGGAACAAGTCAAAAAAGTTTTAGCCTTTGCATGGCAACCTAATAGTTGGGATGCTGATCAAGATGGTGTTGAAGAAGGAGCTCAACCAAATACAATGGATGTTACTTACTATGGTATGTAGTATTTCAAATATCAAAATAGTTTGAGAACAAAAAATTAAGTGAAAAAGAACTGAGTTAGGTCGATGTTTTCAAACATATTTACTATATTCTTATTATCAAGATCTTCTGATAGTATATATTCACATATTCTTAGAATATCTTGAAAGTTTCAGTCGAACAGAATGTTTCTTCGTTGAATTGTTGAATTTTTAAGTGGACTCCATTTGGATGGCATGTCTGTGGCAAAGAGTTATTTTTGAAAATTCAATATTTTAATTAAAAAAGAAAGCATTCGTTTCAGTTGAAACTTTCAGGATATTCTAAGAACTATTAGACCTATCTATAACAGAACTTTAGACCAAAACTTCATTATTTGATTTTTGAGAAACTACTTACAAATGAGTCTAAAATCCAGTAAAGCGTTGATATTTCGGCACCAAAGGCTCACACGGATGAACTCTTCTAAGATTTTGATAATCTCAACAAAATATCTTTCTGAGNTGTTTTAAAATTGGTGGTCTATCAACTGACCAACGACCATATTGTATACGACATGGACGAATTGATACATTCGTATAAGAAGGTTCACTAGAATTCTCGTACATTGTTCAGCAGCTACCTCTATAAAATCATTGACAATATGAGTATCGGTGTCGACAAGGGCGTAGTTAATTATGAATATCTTCATTGCACTGAGACAAATACAATACCATTCAAGCCTTCCAAAAAACCTCATAACCTTACCCCGATATATTTATTCTCTTTTTATTCCATTGTTTATCTACTGTGGAAGAAAATAAGATGTTGAAGGGAAGATCCATAATCATACCACTATAATATTAGATGTTGACTTTAGAAAAAACTAACTTTTATTTTTCTTTCTCTCTTTCAAAAACATATTCGTGAATAGGCATGACTTGAAGTGTCACACCATCGATCATATACTACGATTAAAAAAGAAATTATAGTTAACATTAATTCTATTCTTTCTGTTAAGCATCACATTTATTGACCATCAAATTCAGATGCAGAACATAAATTCAAAGATAATAAAGATACGCACATTTTTACTTGTGTCAATTATTTCCTGTAGTCGAATGAAAAGTCAATATCATGTATATTCATATAGATTTCCAGAGAGACATTGCTAAAATATTCGAAATAAATATTCAGGTAAATTACTTTATAATTGTCACTTATGATTCGACTATTCATCACTGATGAGAAAGTTAAACCACTAAAACGGAAAACGAGGATATAGCTCCTCGACTAATACAAAACCATGTCAGACACAACATTTTTTAAAGTTTCTCTTTATCTGCATCCACTATTAGTTTTTCTTTATAGTATAGCCCATCCAAAACGTCCGTGCGTGTGACTATTTGTTGAATAACTCGAGAACAAAAAGAGATATAAACCTGCGATTTTCACCATTGCGTAGAGCTTGGAGTACTCTATCAATCCACTAATAGAAGATGAAAAACATCGACTTTTCAGGCAATATTCATTATCGATATTTGAAAGATGTGAACGTGGTTGCCTAAAGTCTTATAGTGAGTCATCAGTTTTAAATATGTAAAAGATAGCCCAGAGCATCCTCTACGAAATGGCGAAAGGCCGACTTCTCTAGCTATGATGGTTCCAAAATGCCACACATGTTCCTGAAGACTGTACAAGTGATTTTTCTCAATAGGATGATCTGCAAATGTGTATAGTAAAGCTCGTTGTTGATAATTGTTTACATTGTAGAAATGGCTGTTTTTGGTCTCAAACAACTTTGATAATTGAAGATGATAAACTAGACTATGCAGAAAGAATATGGATTCAAAATATGTGATTAAAATGAAAAAAAATAAACAGTGTAATCTTATCATTAACATATTACAAAGTATCACATATTGATCTAAACAAACATCTAATTCCTATATACTGTATCCTTCTGGTTTACGTCGTCTTTGCTATGTTGTCTTAATATTCTAAGAGGTATTGATTTGTTTTTCTCTTCAACAGTTTGGTCGTCCAAGACTCCTCTCTGAAGAAGCAACACTAACCATAAGCGCAATGGTAAAAGTATAAGTACATGCAGTGGCTAATAATGATATTTAAAAAGACGATTTCAATACATCGAAAGGATCCTCACAATATCCATGTAATGTAGTAAACACGGCATAAACTAGATGAATACAGTATATAAGAATTAGATGTTTGTTTAGATCAATATGTGATACTCTGTAATATGTTGGGGATAACGTTACAATTTTTATTTTTTTTTTCATTTTAATCACATATTTTGAATCTATACTCTTTCTGCATAGTCTAGCTCATCATCTTCAATTATCAAAGTTATTTGAGACCAAAAACAGCCATTTCTACATTGTACACAATTATCAACAACGAGCTTTACAATACATATTTTTGGTCCATTCTATTGAAAAAAGTCACTTGTATAGTCTTCAGGAAAATGTGTGACATTTTTGAACCATAATAGCTAGAGAGGTCGGCCTTTCGCCATTTCGTAGAGGATGCTCTGGGCTATCTTTTACATATTTAAAACTGATGACTCACTATAAGACTTTAGGCAACCACGTTCACATCTTTCAAATATCGATAATGAATATTGCCTGAAAAGTCGATGTTTTTCATCTTCTATTAGTGGATCGATAGAGTACTCCAAGCTCTACGCAATGGTGAAAACCGCAGGTTCATACTCTTTTTGTTCTCGTGTTATTCAACAAGTGGTCACACGCACGGCCTTGTTGAATGGACTATAGTTATAGAAATATGGCTTCTTTCAAAGGATTGACGAGGTGAATTTGGGCCCGGGTCGAATGTCCTTCATGGCTTTCGGCTCGAGCTGAAAAATCACCGAGCATTCTGACCGGATCGAAAGTTCGGGCCGAAATTCATGTAACCCATACGAGCAGAATAGCACGATTTATTAGGTGGTGAAATCTACACGACAACGATTCACGACCGAATGCATGAAATTGGATACTGCGGACGAGTAGCGCGAAAAAGACCATTGATTAATGATCGTAACAAATGAAAACGAGCGATTTATTGCAGTCACACGCATCGAAAAGATTATAGGTTTTGGAGAATGATTATATGGTAAGGTGAATCAAAGTTCAATTTATTTGGCTCGGATAGTAAGACAATAGTGTGGAAAAAGATCGATGAAGAAGTTAATTCAAACTGTACCGGGTGTGACAAAAGTTTTGCGACATTTTTGTTTTGCCTGAATCTCTGTTCGAAAGCATGACAACATGTTGATCTGTTTTTCAAAAGACACACCGTCAAATTCTCTACCAAGCTTATAGGTCTCAGAGTGTAATTAGCTGAATTGAGCGTACTTTCCACACATTTTTTAGTAATTTATTCTTTTCATGAAAATGAATATTTAGTTCTTAGACTATTATTTACTGCTAGATAGCTCTTGAAAACCTCTGTCGATTATTTATGTATACGAAGTTTTTAAAAGCTATTTCTTTCGGTTAGATGTATGGTAATATTTTGAAAATAGCGCGATTTTCATGTTTGGTTACGCCTTTCCACAGAAAGCATTCTAGAAATGTCACTTATGACCAAAGCGTTTCTATTTTTGCAGTATTTTGTAGAAAATTGATTTCTTTTTCTATGGAGAGCCCTAGTAACGCGTGAGAAAAGAATTCAGCTGGAAGAAGAATCCGAATAATGTGAACAAGGCCGTTTTAGTCGTAGCATATCAGACAGATCATAGGTTTTAGACAAATATGGATTATGATCAAACACTTACAAATAATTCTAAAAGAGCATTTGATATACACTCAAATGACAAATAGAAAGTCTCTTTTGTGCCTGTTTATAACTTAGAAAGATTGTTGGAACAACAGAAAATAATGTGTGGGAAGTAGGCTCAATTCACATAATTTCACTCTGAGACCTATAAAAATGTACACTTCTATTGTTCTAAACTAAGATAAATGGAAGTTTGTAGAGAATTCTACGGCACATCTTTTGAAAAAAGATCAACATTTTGTCGTGCTCCTAAACAGAGATACATGCAAAAAAAAAATGTCGCAAAACTTTTGTCACACCCGGTATATCACAAACGGTAGAATATCATGCGGGTAATATCAGAGTATGGGAATGTTTTAATAGACAAAGTGTTGGTAATTTGTCGCTTATTAATGACATTTGAATCGACAAAAGATATAAAGATATTCTAGAAGAGAACTCATTTCAGTCCGCCAATCAAACTAGGTCTACGGTCAAGCTTTATACTCCAACAAGACAGCGGCTCTAAACATCGATCATCTATTATAGCAAAATGGTTAGATAAAAAACATGTTAAGCGTTTAAACTGGCTGCCACAAAGTCCTGATTTAAGTCCAACTGAAAATCTATGCATGATATTCGATCAACGGATTCGACATTGTATACTACTAACAAAAATGAATAAGAATTAAAAGAATTTTTGATTGAAGAATGGGATCAGATTGCAAGTGATGAAACTGACGAATTAGTTGGTTCCATTGACAATTGTTTAGCAGAATGTATATATCAAGGAGGATTTCCAACTCAATACTAATGATATTCCATTGTACAAAAATGAAATAAGAGAAAATATTATCTCTATACTTGTCTTTATTTATTTTTTTATATCAGAATGAGAATGGTGAAGTTATTCTTGGTTATGGCAGACAGTAATATTGAAATAAAAATTAAAAATTTTGTATGCGAAGCTAATTTAATTTCTTATTTATTACTAGAGATGAAGTCTTTTTTTTGTGAAAAATTATCTGTATCAATAATTTTGAGATAATTTAAAACTCTACAATTTCTGGTACTATTATCGTTGCAACAGCAAAATATGTTCGATCGAATTGATACTTTTAGTGTAACAAATGGCAGCACTTGGCTACGTTTTCATGGAAGCTGCAGCTCAATATGTTGAACTGGAGAAGGGATATTAAGGTCAAATCGTTATTTGTTGATTGTATGAATAATTGTACGTCACTGGATCTTATATGGTCAAGCTAATGTTGTATTAGAGATTCTTGTACGGTTCGTATTTTATATTTCCGGTAAGTTTTTTTTATGTTTGACTTTTTGACTTGGAAATGCGTCAATGTTTTGTGTTATCAACGATTTTTATGTGGACTTTTCTCAGAATTCGTGCGATCGCTTGCAAATCACAGATTTTCACTGAGAACACATTTCAACATCTTCCTAACCATCTCGAACGAGACTCATCGACGACTCATGAATACCTCATCCATTAATCGTCAATTGCTTCAGTTGTGAATGAGTGTGTGTGGCACAGTGGATGCATCGATGCAAGATAAGAAGACGAGCACGGTCACATTTACTCACTCGCATGCAGCTAAGGCACAAGATATTTTAAGAGGCCCATTATTAATTGATATTATCAAAGTAACTAGCATTTCAAAAGTTCTAAAAAGGAGACAATTTTGAACGCTTCTTGGCTCGAGAACAAAATTTCCTAGGTCGAAAACCTCTTTGTTGTGGCTTTTTGAAACAGAATTTGTGTTTTTCAACCATAGATCATACAAACTGTGCGTATTGTGAGGAATTATAGACAATTGTTCAGTCAGCTATCGTTGATGCGGAAAAGTCAGAATTCGAAATTTTAAAATCTTAAAATCCTAAATTTTTCTAGAAAATCCGTCAAAGAACCCCAATAAGAATTCATTCGAATCGTTTCGTATTCGTTATACGATTTACTAACAATATATTTATCACTCGAATTCAAACACCGAACACTACTATCTAATTGCATTCCTAAGTTATTCTATCCACACTGACGATCTCTTTTACTTTGAAATGAATATTAGAATCTGAAAATAAACTCTGACGTGAGTTTTAGTGACGACTAATGAATACAATCGCCGTCTTTTTTGAAATTCTGTGTCGTAAGATTCTCTGCGTCTGATTCATCATGATACGACAACGGTGTCAAAGTCATGCTTCACTCGCATAAATAATTGATTCACGTCTCGACAATAAAAAGTACAACAATTAAGACTAGCATTATGATGTCGCTTAGTCACAGACATATTGATTTTAATGTTACAAGACGCATCGTTTCCTGCCTCTACCAATGGATCTTCGATCAAGGAAAGCATCATGATTATTAGTACTCACTGAATATATATGTGAGCTGACCGAGAATATTAAGCAAAGTTCCAGCTCGCTGACCTTTTTTTTGGTTGACTGTCCTCTCTCAGTAGAGAATATTGAAAAGATAGAAGATCAGTACAAGTCAAATATGATCGAATATCTAATTTATATCATATGTCGCAATGTGTCCATCGTAATGTCCCGCAGATTTTCTGTTGTTTGCAGTGGAATGACCGGATCGTGTCCAACAACCACGATGGTCAATGTTCCGTTGACCGTTTGAAATATGATAAAAGGTGACTCTCCACGAATTTGGTTGATAAATGGATTCATGCCAGTAAGTTCCCATGGGCCATATCGCTCACGAAATGGCAAAAGACCCCAACTGGAGATATTACACGTTGGTGAAGCAGATACATTTGTCGAGTCAAGCACCTTGTTAACAATTTTCTCCGAAATGAGACCACAAGCGAGAATTTGACCAGCATCAATTGCTGTGATGACATGATGTCCGAACGTTCTAGCAAGCTCCCACATACCATCTGGAGTCGTTGGAATGTCCCGTCTCGGTATCACGAATGGCATAATGCATGATACATGATAGCTGAGGTCATGATTTGGCACAGCCGGCACACATCGTCTTCGAGTATCTGCATTGATAGCAACGTTTAGTACGGTCTCTTGACCATCATCGATGATGACAAGTTGAGATACGGCACAGAGTATAGCAGCACTCACAGCAGATGTCACTGTTACTTTTTCCTGATGGCACCGTTCTATCAATTGTTTAGTCTCTTCTTTGTTCAGCATACCGTAAGCGGCTTCCGTATGGCAATAGGTAACCATATCATTCAAGGTGAAATCGACTCTACCAAAAGGAACTCTTGCAGTAGGCATACTTGTCAGGCGTAGATAAATAGCCGATAGCATCAACCGGCTGATTGCGAAAAATATTTCGGAGGTTGATAAACTCTCTCGGATCGATTTCTCCATCGTTATCGGCCAGTTTAGAGAGTCACCCAGTACATTTTCATCGTCACTTCCCAGAGCTATAAGAAGCTCATGGGCTACAGTGCTCAAGGATAAACCATCGGAGATGCTGTGTTCGCATATGAAGACCACTTCGCGCGGAGCATTTTTGTCATGATCATCATCTGGATCCTAAAAACAACAACAAAAATACTATATCCACGTACTTTCAGACGACTCAATACCTGAAGAAGCCAGAATTTGGCGAGTCCCTGTCCAATATGAGTCGTCTCTTTTTCTCGTTCTTTCCATTCACGACACCAGAAAGTCAAATAATCATCTCGCTTACGTGGTATCTCGAGAATCTCGAGACGAAGTGTGCGATCCTCTTCCAATAAAAAGCTTCTTGGATTATCAGGATCGCGTTGCAAACGACTTCGAAGCGCTGGATGACGAGACTGCAAACAACGAACCGCTGTATCCAGTTTGTCCAGTGTGATGTGAGGTCCTCGTAGATAGAGAACTTCCCCAATCTTCATGTAGCCATGATATTGTTGCGAAGCCTTCATCATTACATTTTCCATTGGTCCGAGAGCCCGTTGTGTTGGACTCACCTGGGATGAACTTCGGCGAAACCAGTTGAACATAGATCTGTCTGAAAAACAATGAAATCTTTATAAAAAACTCGTCATGTCCATTGAAATATTCAACTATTTTCATTCTCAATAGCACGGCTCAAGTTGGAATTTCAAAGACGACCAAGTCAAACGGCATCGTGTACTTTTGTTTAGAGAACAATAATGCTTGAACAAATGATTATTACTTGTACTTCTGAAGAAAATGAACTGCTCTCATCTACATGTCAGCAGTTATCATGCACGTGTGCATGCATTTCAATCAGCGTGGTTGAGGGCGATACGTATTTATAGAAATACCTGTTTATCTTTAGTTACCTTTTAGCAACTGGCAGCAAGCTTCTCAATTCTTCACCTGACAGTGATTGATTTTGTTCGTGTCTGAATAAACTCTGACTGTGAACATGAGTTAGGAGCAAGTTTGAACATCATCATGGAGGCGCATGAAATCCAGCAAAAAGAAATCCTGATAGGCTAGAATGAAAGAGTGAAAATGGTTTCCGTTGTTCGCTGCTCAGTGCACAGTATCTAGCGAACGGCGGTCTGAAAATTATATAAGAATGAAGCAAATATGCATAATAACGTGTTCAGAAGTACTGATTGATTATTCATTATGTTTCTGTCAAACATGTAACTGATCTACTAATCAATGAACAAGCGTTTAATAGAAATCGCAGTGAAATAAAACAAAGAAAATAAAACACATGCTTGTTTTACTAGCTGATGGCTTGATTCACTATACTCCTTTAAAACTTTGGACACCTTTTGTTGAATTACGAAAAGTTGAGTTGTGTGTTGGTTCTTCATTTTCAGTGTTTGATCTACTGCACGATGATCTGAGACAAATGTACTTGTCAGTAAGACTAAGTCGACTTCCCTTATGACAAAAATTGAATTATGCCCCCCCCGCCCCCCCCCCCCCCCCCCCCCCCCACACCCCCACCCACCCCAACCCCCGAACCACGTCCTTGAACACAAACCCACACGTGCAAATACCTCAATATAACGACCCC